ATGCAATTTATATTGTAAATGTTATAAATAATTTTAACAACATTATTTTAAAACAAGTTTTGTGTATAGACTGGAAAAATAAATATATGTATTGATATAACACAAACATGACGCAATTAAGATACAAGTCCTTTCCACTTCACCATCCACTATCATCCTATAGTTCATCATTTATGTGTGTTGGTTAAACATTGTTAAACAAGCCAAGAAACTGAGAAGGCATTAGAAATCAAATTTGTCTAATGTGTTTCACTTCACAGGTCTCTACAGATCCCTCGCTCTCTAATTATGATGTGCTGGTGTTGGATGAGATACACGAACGCCACCTGTTTGGTGACTTCCTCCTTGGTATTGTTAAATGTCTCCTGTTTCAACGCTCTGACCTCAAAGTGGTTCTGATGTCAGCAACTATCAACATAGAACTCTTTCGAGATTACTTCTCAGTAGAAGCTACAGTAATACAAGTATGTACATGTTTTCAAGCATTGTAAAAGTAATATGGCTTATGTGAACCCCCTCCCAAAAAAACAATTTTGGTCCAAAAATGGAGGACACGTTACATTCCGACCGCCAAGCAGAGACTGACCCACACTGGTCCCCATATAACAAAACAAAGCTGGAGAAGAGCAGGGTGCACTCTGATGGGAAAAGAGTAAGGTTAAGAACAGGTTGACACAAAGGAAATGTCACACACTGTTGTGAATTTTAGCACTCTTAGGAGTTAAGCATAGCCATACTACTGATAGATGCCTTATACTTTATAAGAAATGTTTAATAATGCGTTTTGAAAGGTGGATAAACACAAAGCCCTACATCACAGTCTTTGCAGTAGTAAACCTTATTGTACTCATTTGTGCACAAAAACCCTTTATTGAATAAATTATGTGGTTCTGCAATACACAATACATTTACATACATGGCCGATCTCTGTCTATTGAATGCGTAAAATGATTTGGTTGTGAAATGTGACCTCTTATGCAAATTTGAAATTTTCTCTGTATGCCTCATAGTTATGTAATTGTTATAGGTAGATTGATGTACAGTGCCAAAGTTCAAAAATATAACAGCTGTGGTCAGTAATTAAAATCTGTATATGACTTTTCAGATATACTATGTCCATGCAAAACAAGTATTGGTGCTACTCTGGATGGACAGATGTAGATACAATTTTGTATGAATTGTACTGTTTACTAGTAATCTGTGTTTTTAATTTGAAGTTTTGGGTAAACTGTAAAAAGCTGTCTGCATCAAAATTTGAGTGTGAGCAGTACACTTTAAAGCAGAACACATCACATCCAAATTACCTCTCATAATCATCCTGTCACTTGTTACTTTATAATCTGTGTAGTTTTTAAACATGACTTAGATTTATTGCACAAAGGTGAAATTCCTATGTACATGCATTGTTTCATGTATAGAGGTTCTTGTTAAGAAGTTTGTAAAATAGTGGTTTAACTGTAATGCTATTGCCAGACTGTTTATTAAATTAGCTTGTGGTAGGTTCCTGGGCGGTTGTACCCTATCAAGCTGCAGTATGTGCCAATTTCACCTGAGGAGAAGTCATCTAAGTCAGGGCGATTGAATCCAGCTCCGTATGTACGCATCATGCAGCTAATTGATGAGAAGTATCCAAGTATGTTTACTGTGTTGGATAAATTACAATAAATATAATGAATGTAAAATAACTGGAAAATATATTTATGAGAACTTACTAGTTAAAAATATCCTTCAGATAATCAAGGTTGTACCGACACATTTTGTATCACGTGGGATTACTGAGGTAATTAAAGTTATTTTACAAGATTGGTTGGCTCCAATATTCTAATGAAAAATAGTTTGATATTTTATTATGTCTCATGTAATATGAGTCTGGTTGTGTATTGGATAGAGATTAAGCCCCAACTTAGGGAAAAAGCTAGATATATAATGATAATGTGTAAGGTCTGTTGCTTACCTCATAGTTCAAGACAGATGAGTATGAAATATTGATGGAATGCAGATTGACAGGATAAATCTGAATTATTTGGATTAATATCTGTACTAGTGCCACTGTCTTACCTAACTTCCCATTTGGAATGCCCTTGGATTGCACCTAGGTCTTGGTGGTTAGAACCTGTCATATTAACTACTTGAGCTGTGGTGTGACCTCACTGTCTTATCTACTTCTTATATAGTATTTTAGATGTCTCTGACTGTCTTCATCTGTAAATTGAGAGGGGTTCATGTAACAGGTGGGTAAAATTATTTCACATACCAGCAGGTGCAGTGTGTTTTAGAAAGTTACTGACATCTCAGTAAGACATGTATAGCAGTTTCTTCCAACTGAAGTAGTTCTGTAAGACTGAATAGTCTACACAGCTTTTAGAGGAAATGCTGCTTGAAATGTGTGAAATAACATGAAGGAACTTTTTTTTATAACAGTAGACAAAGATTTATGTAAGAAACAAAGTTGTTTCATAACTTTGCATAATACAATTTAATTTTGTAGGATTTTAGGTTTTCACAGTGGAGAGTGAAGTTGGCTGTCTTTTGGGTTGATGCACCATGTGGTCTTGTAAAAGTTTACTGATGTTTCAGAGTTGCTTGCTGCCTCCATCATCAGAGTGATGAGCAAGCACCTCTGAAACATCAGTAAACTTCTACCAGATTACACATCCCAACAATCCAGAAGACAGCCAACATCGATGTTAAACACATTCTATTTTGCCATTGTTTCTTTAAATAGGAAATGAGAGGGGTGACTTACTTATTTTCTTGAGTGGAATGAGTGAAATCTCCACAGTGGTTGATGCTGCAAAATGTTATTCACAGCAGACTCAGGGCTGGATTGTACTCCCTCTTCACAGTACCCTGTCTTTGGCAGATCAAGATAAGGTGAGGTCCAGATAGGCTATCAGGATGTTATGATGAGACCATTTGCCAGAAACACTGCTAAGTTTTTGTGACATTTATTCTCTTTTATAGTTATGTAGAATTGTATGTACAGTTTATATTTTTTTGTGTGATAGTATAATGTTTTTGAACTTAATTATTTATGAAAGCAAAAATGGAAGCCCTGTGAATCCAATGAGTAGCCAATTGCTGTAATGTAACATATTATGATTATTGCTTGCTTTAATTTATGTTCAGGAATGAAAACTTATGAGCAATGTTGAAAACATACAAATTTAAGAATAATATTTTTCAAATACTGGAACTGTAAGAATCATTAGAAAGACAATCACTAACATTTCCTTGATTACTGATGCTTATTAATTCTGCATCCAGCTGCTTTTTCCAGTTGTTCTGATACCAGCCAGTGTTGAGCCAGGGCTACTATTTTCATTAGCCTCAGGGCTTAATGTTTTATATTTAAGATGAGCTTAGCATGCCACTTATGCATTAGAATATTTAGTTTCTGATATCGAGCTGTTACATTTGAGTCCACATTAGTAAGGTGTTAAACTACAATATGTTATTTTTCTTTGTAGGTTTTTGACTACCCACCAGATGGAGTTCGCAAGTGTATAGTATCAACTAATATAGCTGAAACATCTGTCACAATTGATGGTATACGCTTTGTTGTGGATTCAGGAAAGGTGAAGGAGATGAGCTATGATCCAAACTGCAAAATGCAGAAACTCAAAGAATTTTGGATCAGTCAAGCCAGTGCAGAACAACGGAAAGGGAGAGCAGGTGAGGGATCGTTTTCTGTGATGTTTCTACTGATGGTGCTTCTACTTGTCATTCTTCATTTTTTAGCATAAATGTTGTTTTAATAAACTAACTATATAGAGTAGATTCCTTTTTGAGAAGTTGGTAATTACTCAGCTAGTCAGTAAATATCCCACCTACCATGGAATAAGAAGGTTGATTTCTGTACTGAAGAAATCTTTCCACTGGACCCTATATTGTGATGAATCCAGTGTACATCTCATACCCTACTTCTTTAAGATTAATTTCAATAACTTGTGTGTGTCTCCCAAGTGGTCTCTTCCTTGAAGATTTTCCAGCTGAAGTATTCAAAATATTTCTTATCTCCTGCATGCATGCTAGATGTCAACCTATCTCATCCTTATTTTTTTGTCATGGTGACAATATTATGTAAAGAGTGACAATTATGACTGGGTAATTTGAATACTTGTGTTCAACAAGATAAAGTGTGCTTTTTGCCTATATTGCTGTATGAGATATCTTACCATAGTTGTTGCTGATTGATTCTTAGGATATTTAATGATGCTGTTCTAACTGTGGATGTTGTATACGAGTAACTAAGATGGGAACATTATCATGAATAGTGAGTAGATAAGAATTTATAAGGAGTCAGTTATGACCTGTTTGAATTCATGTCAAAACCTCCAGAAGATATCAGGATACCGATTGCCTGATCTAGATTCAAATTGGGTACTTCTCCAGTACAGGTACACCAGCCTGCTTGGTAGAAGGAGATTGTAATATTGTGTTTTTAATACTTGTAATGGGCAAACTAGGCTTAATACTAAAATGAATTATATGATTGTAGGTCGTACAGGTCCTGGTGTTTGCTACCGTTTGTTCTCTGAGGACGAATACACAAACATGGACCAGTACTCAACACCTGAGATCAAGCGAGTGCCTCTTGATTCACTCTTACTTCAGATGGTTGCTATGGGGCTTCCGGATGCTCGAAAGTTTCCCTTTATTGAACCACCACCACCTGAAAGTATTGAAAATTCTGTCTTGTCCTTAAAGGAGCAGGTGTGTCTGAATTTAATTCTTGTTTAAGATAGTCTGTTATCATCATTTGAGAGATTTTATTTAATAATTGCAAAGTAACCATTTACAAGGTATAGATTTACATAATTCATTTTTTGTGTACAGGGTGCCCTTACTGAGAATGAAAAACTAACAACAATAGGCCATATGCTGTCTCGCTTGCCAGTTGACATCTCCCTTGGAAAGATGCTCATCATGGGATCTCTCTTTCATCAAGTGGAACCAGTGTTATCCATGGCTTCAGCCCTGAGTGTACAGACCCCTTTTACAAACAGATCATATAGAGATTTTCATTGTGAGGCAAGTTACAGTTGTTGTTCTTGAGGTCTGAACTATCTATTTCAGTCCTGTATAAAATAAGAGTTGAAAGGTTTACTCCGTTTGGAATACATATATTTTTCAAATATGTTCTTTAATATTTCACATACCTCATGTGCCTTGGTGTTAATTTATTACTGATGCAAGTCTTGTAGCTGAATAATTAAAATGTATTTTTATAATGCTGTGTTACATGTAAACTCACTGAATTACAAACTTTGATACTGTATACAGGTGAGTCAAAAGTATGTCTGGATAATTTAAGGACACGTTCTGGGAACCAAAACAATAAAAATAGTTTCTATGAACATGGGGTTGAAAATGCTTCCTTACCTATGTATTATAACTGAATGGAGAACACACATACCTGCTACATAGTGTTTATTACAATGTATCTAATTCATGATTTTGCAAGAGGTGTTCATATTCAATCTCTCCACCTCCACACATTCCTGAGCACTACAAACAGTGTACTGATGAACATGCTGAAACACACCAGTGCTTCTTTTAACCATGTTATAAACAACCAACACATGTTGCCATAGCTCCTGCTGTGTTAACTGGTGTTGCGTACACTGGGCCTGAACCTCTTGGACTTTTACCTGTGGGGTCACTTGAAGTCCCTGGTGTTTGCAATGCCAGTTAACACATTTTATTAAATTAAATATAATTTATAAGCCACATTGTATGCTACACCTGTGTTGCTCACAACCTGCAGAGGTGTATATTCTTGATATTTAAAAGCTGATTTTGTTTTCAGGCAGCTTGTAAAGAACTACAGTCTGATCATGGTGACCCATTAACACTGCTCAGTGCCTTTCGTGAGTGGTTGGAGGAAAAATCTATGTCGTCAAATGGTAGATCATCATCTCGACAGTGGTGTCGTCGTAGAGGTCTTGAGGAGCACCGTTTCTATGAAATGATTAAATTAAGGCGTCAGTTTAAGGACCTGTTACAGGTATATACAAGTTAATATTGGTTGTACTGTTTTGTCATTATTTTGTGATTTGTGAGGCTGTGATTTATGGGCCGGCATCTTTCCATGTGAAGCTCCTTTGGATTCATATATATAAAATCATGCACACAAACAAGACTGTTACTCTTTGAAAAGACACTTAGTGCCAAACACATTTCAACCTCAAGAGGTCATCATCAGTGGCAATTGTATGATTTAATATGAACGTGTTTTATGAATGAATTCTCCATAGTTATGCAACCATTTGTTATTGATATATTTGGCTGTCATTTTGAAATCAATATGAAAAATTAAAATTTAAAGGAAAGAGGCCCATGGGACAAGCAAGAACAAAATGGTTCAGCCAGGTACTAGAAGACATCAAGAAGAGACGACAGACATTTTGCCCATTAACCCATATATAACAAATAATGTTAGAACAAGAAAAAAGTTCTGTCTATATTAATAGTTCTGTACTTCTATGAAAATATCAGTATTACACATGTGAGATTTAAAATATTATAATTAGCATTAACTCTGCTTTAATATTACAGGAACATGTAGGTTTCCCCTTAAATTTATCTTTCAGGATTCAGGACTCCTGCAAAGTGAAGCTTTGTCAAATGAGAATATGACAAGTGCTGAGCGCTCATTTCGTCACGGTGAAGTTAAATTGTTACGTTCAATGCGTCAGTCATACAAAGAAGCTGAGCCTCGAAAGAAGCGAATTCTCAAGCTAGATATATGGGAGGTAGAAGGCGCAGAAGTTGAAGAGCCTGGTGATATTGATATCAAGGATGTTGAGTTTAGACTGAGCAATAACAGCATGCAAGTACAGGCAAGTGTCTAAATGTTAGTGTCCTCCTCTTAAATCATTCATGGACTATCTGTGGTCCAGGCGTTGCCTTAGCGCATAGAACATCATGCATCTTGTGACATGTTCCCTCCTCAGCCAATATAAACAAGACAGATTTTGTGTTACTAGTTTTTAGGTATATACAATGTAAATTGGACCATCTTGTAGGTTACTTTTGGCATACAAAAATTATACTTTTTTATAATGGATGTTATGTATTTTAATGTGTAAATGTATATAGTCCATACTGATCTTACAAAATGCTAAAGTTTTTGTGCAGTTTGGTGTATTGAAATTAAGTATTATTGGATCTTTGGAGTTTAAAGTTAAACATCTTATTTAATTTACAATAGTTGAATTAAACTTACATTGAACTTGGCAAACATATTTAATTTTAAACTTATGAATATCATGTAGTTATCTCTTGTTCTGCACATTAAGTTATAATTTACCTTTCTTTATATGATTGGTAATTTAATTTAATTTGGATAATGCAGAACCTCTTGTCTGGATCTACTGCCTGCAGTTACAAGGACCTTATGATGCTGAAACTTATCCTATGTAGTGGACTGTATCCCCAGTTGGCAATTGCTGATGAATTCAATTACTGCAAGGTAAGCTAGACATTATGTTTATGTTGGTTATTTAATGACACTGTTCTTTTTTCAGAGAATGAGATATCAACTGTTTTTATTTGGTCCTCAGTCTGTTTCAGAGCAGTTATTCCATACTAGAGCAAAGCCATATATATCTCTACATCCAATGGGATATTTTGGAAATCACCCACAAATTCTTCAGCTTCAGGAATCAGACATTGAAGTGGTACAGAAGAGAGGGTTTAATTCAAAGTTACCAGTTAGTTCAAAACATCAGCTGCTATGCTATTTGTAAGTATAGTGTTAGAAATCTGCATTTCATATTGAAAACAAAGCCGAATTGAAGTTAATGAAATTTTATGAAACCAAATATTCAGTTTAAATTACATAAAATAGTATACAGGTAATTAAAATGAACCCTAGAAATATACTTTTGGGTTTCATGTAAAGTATCATGTGCAGTCAAAAATATACAAACAAGTATAAAACACTGTCTTGCTGTTTATAAAGAGGAGATTTAGATTCTTCTGTATTTTGATTGTGTTCTTTTTAATAAATCTTTTAAATGAGAAACAAATCAAGAATGGGAAAATCAATAATGGAAAGTATGACATGTAAAAACAAAAGGAAATGGTCTCTATTCAGGTGAATTAAAGGAGTGTGGGACAGTATCAGAAACCATATAGGGATTTAATTATACTCATATTTAAACAAAATATGTATGTTCATGATTCATATATTCATTTCTTTGCGGATACTGACCTCCAAGTTTAGAGATTGGATAATTCTTTGTTACATTATATCTTTCATTTATGCATTAGGCAGCAATACCTGTTGCATCTGTAGTTGGCCCTTTTATAATTAGAGTGTTCAGTGTCTCTTTTACTGGTAACGAGTGTAGCTTCCATTTTCTGCGTGTGGTTTAGCCATTTATTTCTGTACTTGATTACTATATTACATGCTTTATATAAAATATTTTAAGTTATTCTGTTCTGTATCTTTCCACAATTCATTCATATTAACTTGCTTTTGTTGTTCTTTATTCCTTTTCAACTTTATCAAGTTTCACTTCCATAAAGTAAGCTTTGTAGTGACATAACCTTATATACTTTTAATGTTATATTTTCTGTTACTTTCTTACTCCAGGTTCTCTTTATGCCAACATTAAGTACTTACAATTTTTATTATCTGTTATAGTTCTTTGTCTTTTTCTTATGATAACACTCATAACAACAATTTAGACTTGTTGATTTTCTAATTAATATTTTAGATGTAAGATTTGAGGTTTTCACAGCAGTGAGTATGAAGATTTCTGTCTTCTGGGTTGTTGCACTACGTAGTCTGGTTGATGTTAACCGACGGAGGCAGTATTACCTCTGAAACGTTGGTTAACATCAACCAGACTACACAGCACAACAACCCAGAAGACAGAAATCTTCAATATTTTAGATCATACAGGCATATGTCCTCTAAAAGCTGTTACCATGTGTGTCTCTTTGGATTTTCATGTTGGATTTGTTTAATGATTTTAAAGCAATTTGAGCTGTTCTTCAGGTCACTGTTGGAAACAACAAAACCCTTCCTGGTGACTACAATGCGGATGCCTGCTGCTCAGACTTTGCTTCTCTTCTGTCAGTCCATAGACACTAACTTTGACTTTTCAAAGTAAGTCAGATTAATTATTTTGGACTTCAATTTACACATTATGTTCTGTAAAAATGGGCAGTATTAACATAATGTATTAGTGAATAGCGACTAACAGGAAGATTCATTTTAGGGTATTTATGTTCAGATATTGTTCTGAAATAAGTCTTTTTTACACTGTAAAATAACTTTTTTTATCTTGCTCCCTTATTTTGTGTTTGTCCTAGTAACTTAGGAACCAAGTGGAAGATATTTAAGAAACTTGGCATGAACATCCTATTTTAAACTAACCAATCTTTGTACTTTTTAATTATGTACAGTGTATAATACAAACAAAATAGCTGTGTGAACTTCTGTGATTGGAGTAGCCACTTGCTGTAGTGTCCTGTCCTGAAATTCTGTGTGGTAAAAGATCATGTAAAATTTTTACGTTCAAAACATGAACATGATAATGGTGTGAGTGAACCTTCAAGGTTATATGTAACAAATTTAAGGTAGTGAGAATCTTATTAGTATAATTTATGCACAGAGATGCATCTGTAAGTTACATATTTATTAATGTGTAATTCAGGTTTGCTTCTCTCTACAAATTTAATTATTTCAGAGAAAGTAGCCTTCTTATTGTTTTTTTCTGGGTGCACATGCTACAGCTGTGTGAATTTTGAGGATTTCATGGCTATGATATCCTGTAGTCTTCTAGATGGTTACCATTGTTTTGGAGGAATGTATTACTTCCATCTTTAGGGTGAAAGTCTTCTTACATGAAGATAGGGCGATATGTTTATCCAGAATGCTGGTAACCTCCTGCAGTGCTACAGGCATCATAACCCAGAAGACTGCAATCCACGTGCTACAGTTGTGTTCTGAAATCATTTTGATAACACAGTGCATCAAGGTGTTAAAAAGATATTAACGGAAGAAAGTCAGGTAATGGTCCTGCCACCAAAATACACACACACACAAGCCTGTCCTTCCTTATAACAAGGAGTGTAATCTAATAAAAGTGAAATCAATTTTGTTTACAGGTTAGTATGTGACTCCTGGTTACAGCTGGAATTCCCATTGCCTGAAGCTGCTATGTTATTACTGTTGAAGGCTGCTTTACTGCGAAACAAATGGGAGAAACTGCTTAATTTGCGACTTGAAGGTGATAATTCAGCTGAAGTAAAATTCACATCCCAGATTTAAATTTTTTACCACATTAAGGTTTTTCCTTGAGAAAAAGAACCAAACCTAAACTGTTTCACTAAGTATTATATGCCATGTGCTAACTCAGAATAAGTTTGTTTCCATGTTACTGTACAGTTGAAAGGTGCATATACTATTAGTATAATGCAAACTAATTTTTGCACAGTAATTTTGAATTGTTCAGATTTTACTAATTATTTTGAATTACAAATGAACTGAAATTTTAAAAATTATACAAAATCATATGTTCATGGATAGAGGCTGACATTGACTTCAAATTCGCTGGTACTTTGAATTATCCAGCAATGAATGACTAATGTTTTATTGTGAAATCCTTGAATTGCTTAATTTCTCAGTGACTTCACCGAGTATTAACAATAAGGAGATGTCATCTGCAGCAGCCAAGAAATTGGAGCAAGAACTTTCAAGTGAACTGCCACAGTTTATGCATACTGAGATTATCTACACATTGCGAAGATTGCTGCCTGCTGACCTTAAGGTCATGTATGTCGGTTCTGGGGAAAATGAGGATCCTGTCACTCCCAACCCATTTTGTTCAGATTGGGAATGTACACCACATCAAGAGAAAGGCGGGGTCCGGGTTACTCGATATATCACATTCAACTGGTGAGTACTGTTGTTCCTTCTTAGCAGCATTCTTATTTTCATCCATCCTGTGATTCAGTCACATGTAGGAGATGTAGCCACTGTCTCCATCCTACATGAAAAGCAGCATTTATGGCATTCTCAGGAGTACTGATTGCTGTAATTAGCTAAACAAATGCAGGGTACAGAATTGTGAAAGCTATAAATACTAATCATGCAGGACTTTGTTTCAGATCTGCATAAGAGCAGAAGTTTCATAAACACTGACATTACAGTAACAGTGATAAATTATGATAATTCTGTGTTCATTTATGTATAAGTTTAATTGGGTATAATTGAAATATGTGTAATAACCGTTATCAATACCACAGAAACTAGGGTTTTGTGGGAGGATCCTCTTCTGTTGCACATGTCCCAGTTTTATTTATAAACTGATCACATTGAATTAAAGGTATTTTAGTAGGATTTGAGGTTCTTGCAGTGAATACAAAGATGGCTGTCATCTGGGTTGTAGTGCCTTGTAGCCTGCTGGAGGTTTGCCAAATTTCAGAGGTCTTCGCTGCCACCATCATCAAGGTGTTAACTTATTGCCCTGATGATGGAGGCAGCAGCACAGATCTCGGAAATGTTAACAAACCTCTATTCTCTTCCCCCCCCCCTCCCCCCCCCAATCCTATCTTGGTACTTTTTGACTCCCTCTACTGAACATTGAAGATAAGTGGTTAGCACTCCTGCTTTGTGTTTAGGAGGTCTCAGGTTCAAATCTTGGTCAGGTTACTGGCTATTCTAAGGTTTTTTGGTGGTTTTCCTCAGTCCCTCCAGGCAAATGCCAAGATAGTATTGTAAATTAGGCCATGACTGATTCCTTCCATATCCTTTCCCTCCAGTTAATTATTCAGTCATCATTTTCTATTTTACTCTAAGCTACTGACAGTTTTGTTAAATAAATTATGATTAAAAAGAGCAATTGACAGTGCCAATGATGGTGACACGGAAACTTTGATGTGGGAACAACAATAATGCCAGGGACTTGAAATTTTTTAAGGTGGTTGATATTAAAAATTGTTACACTTTTATTAGGATAACTTTTTAGATAAACTTTAAATATGAATGTGATGAATTATTTGTAACATCATACATGAAACATGTATGTTAACATATTATTTGTAGGAACTAAACATGTTCTTTCCTTATGATGACTTCATAACTCTTATTTGTGCTGCTTTCAGTCTTAATGTATTTGGTTCATACCTGGATGACTACAACGATGATTCTGAGAAAGAGTGGCACTGTCCACATTGTAATCTCAGTATGAACTTTGGCTCTATACAGAAGCTCCAACACATGGAGACTTGTTCACCTCAAAATCAACAAGGTAGGTCAGGTTTTTTATTGTTATTTTCATCTTTAAAACTAATATATATTTATTAATGCAACCTTTTATTGATTTATTTGTTTTGTAGATTTCTTTTTGTAGGTATTCCTTTTGATCTTCGTAGTATTTTGCATATTTTGGTCAGTTGTTCATTATTCAAGAGTTGTGATGTGTGGTGTGTCTTCGTCTGTGATCAGATGGATAGTCATCATCTGATCACAGACGCAGACACACCACACATTACAACTCTTGAATAATGAACAACTGACCAAAATATGCAAAATACTACGAAGATCAAAAGGAATACCTACAAAACAAAAAAATCAATAAAAGGTTGCATTAATAAATATATATTAGTTTTAAAGATGAAAATAACAATAAAAAACCTGAGGATGATGCAATAGCATCGAAACATGTCGTAAAATAATAAGCGCTGAAATGTAACATCAAAATAACGATGAAAAGCGCTAAATTTTAATTTTAACAACAACATTTCAAAAACTAAGTTTGTGTATAGACTGAAATAATAAATAAATATATACTGAAGGTAGGTAGTGAAATGTGGAATTGGTAAACATTTATGTGTCAGTGTCAAAGGGTTCTGACGGTGTTACACTCGGAATTACTAAATTCTTGGACTTTGTCCATTGTTTGGTATTCAGAAGAACACAGCATTTCTGGAACTGGATCGTTAGAAAGAGCTAACCTCAGTTACTGAGGTTGGCTGTTTGTATAGGACCCAACTATGTAGGTGCCCCTTCCCTTTTCACGTGAGGATGGAAACAGATCCAATTTCTGAAATGTTTTGTTCTGTCACTGGACCAGTGATAGAGATGCTCCTTCTGATGGACCCAACCGAATAGGTGCCTTCCCTCTTACCTGAAGACAGACAGAGCCAGTTTCCGAAATGTTGTGGTTTATTTTAAACAAAGACGATGGAAAAAGTCTAGTCACAATTTGTTTCCAGCTGGTGTTAAAGTTAACATGATGGGGACCATAATATGAATGGGAGAAACAAAGTCATACAAGCTTTTGGTTGAAAACCTGGTGACACTTGACTATTTGGAAGACCAAGACATAGATATAATTAGTTAGAAAAATAGATTTTTCTTACTTGAAGAGGACTGAGGTGGCTCAGGAGAGGGCAGGGTGACAAACTTCTGTGTAGACAGTGATGAAGTTTAGTTTCCATTACAACATAGAATTTTGTGAACAGCCAATCTATCAGCTTGCCAGGGGGTCAAGTTGTAATGTTATTTAAATATAAAGTTACCAAACTGGTATATTTGTTAAAGCGAATGGAATTGCGCTGAAAATAAAACTGTCCAAAATTGTGTTTTCTTCTTCAAACATGTACATTTTCTATGTATAGGAACACATGAAGAAGAAACAAGTACACAGAAGCCCAATTCCCAGGCTTATCAATGTGCACAGTGCAACAAAACTCTGTTTCTCACACCAACAGAAATTCTGAGACACAAGAAACATCATCAGTAACGGCAAGAACATTTCTTTCACCAAGTTCCTGTGGTATTAATCAAGGTATGCTAATCTCTGTATGTACTTTTTATGATCTAGGGAATTAGTTTATTATAGTGTTTTAGTAAAGCTATAGAGTATTTATCACAATGAAATTCTTATGCGGAATTGCGTTTTGTTTGATAGTTACAGAGGAAATGTATATCATAAAGTGTCTTATGCATTCAAGTGTGAGACCAGTTGCTCAGTCTTTATTCTAAAGAATTTTCTTGCATAATGTGGCTATTTCAGCTTTAAAAACCAATGCATGGAAATATAACTCCATAGAATTAAAACAGAACAGTTACAGAATATGCTTAAAAAAATTGGATTATAATCCCAGACCACAAAAAAGGTAATTCAGTTAAAATCCGTTTCTTAATAGCTTAACTAGGGGTATTTTACTTTGTTTAAAGTAATTCATGGTTTGATTTTTAACTGTTTACAAACCAATGGCAACATTCAGTAACACACACACTGCATTATTGGTTCCATATGATTTTCAGAATAAACAGCTGTCATTTCCCTAAACAACATTAATTATTTGATCTTTGTAATGGTGAAGTCTTGTGTTTTGTTTGAGGTAGGAACTGAATTTTTAAATATTATTTAGATGAGTTGATATAGTTTGGCTGTGCAGTAGGGGGGTAAATTCATTCCATGGCTTTGAAGCATAAATTGGTGACAGCCACACTAATTGTACATGTTAGTAAGAAATATGTTAACACAGAATTTTATTAAATTGTTTCCAGCCTTGAATATACATAGTACAACGTGGAGTACAAATGCCCAATACATTGCAACATTCAGCTTTTCAAAGATACTATAATATATTCATAATTCAGGTTTTGTTTAGTCAGTTTATTTAGATGACTGCTATTGTCTTGTAATTGGTATTATGCCATTGATTTATTCAGAAGTTGGTATTCCTCAAGATATTCTTGTGAAGTATGCAAGTTCGTCCAGCTGCACTGTATAGTTCCTTAACCAGCAATTGCCATTGTGTACAATTCCAGGTTGTAATTCATCTTGCCACTTTCCTTTAGGGAGGTAAATATTTCTGGCAACTGCTCCTTCATTCAAGATGGGAGCCACAAGCAAGTCATTTCCTAGAAGGAACTCTAGAAAAACAAATAAAAGGTTTCATTCTAAACATTTTTATCTTCTTTAAATCATACATACGTAATGTCATTTCCTTGATTAAATTTATCTCTTTGCATGATTTTAATCATATTTGCTACTGTCAGCTCTTGATATTTGGTTGCCATTTATGTTTTACCACCTGGGGAAACCATTCTTCAAAGAGGTTTTTGCACCATTGCTCTACATGTTACAGGAAGGTCCCATGTGGTTAAGTGTCTAGAACTCTCATAGAACAAAATCCAGAGTTTGAGTCACCTTAATTTCCTATGTTGAGTGTACTGTATTTAAATTCGAAATGTTTTTCATCTTTGTATTGTTCGCTTACAACACAGTAGTGAACATTATGTTTATTAGCAGTACTAGAGGAAGAGGCCCCTTTATATTAAATGGGGAGGCATGATTTCTTTCTTATCTTTACTCCTTATCCCCTCTTTTCCTTTCATTTATCTATTTTATACCTTTATTCCCTCCCCCCTTTCAACTTATAATAATGGCAGATATCAGCTGTGCTGTGTACCACATTATTTGAATGTTTTCATTACCCATCATCACCCATATTAGAAGCACTTCTAAAATCTACTTGACAGTAGCAGCACTTATATAATGAAACATTTTGCCAATTAACATCACTGCTGAAAACTTTTATGCCTCTGTAAGCCCAGTACCTGACCGAAATTGTTCTTTTGCAATATTTATTGATCTGGTAAATATTTAAGAAGATATTTCTTGGAAAACAGTAGGTCATTAAATATAGTGGGTATGAAATTATTAATTTTAGTCCCAACATTAAGTGTTATTAGAATCTATTTTCAATTGACTTGTGTACAATGGAGGGAGAGAGAGAGTAAATCTGATAGGCATATTCCCCATGATACAAAACATGCTTGAAAATGTTCTTAAGGTTATATTTGACACAACAGACAAAAGGTTCTGCCCATGTAACTGACCTGTATCAATTGTTAATGCCTCTTCATCAGTAGGATCAAGCCACCAGAGGGGGAGGTTGATTGGTGTACCATCTGAAACTTTCTTTCTGGCCAGTTCTAATATTTTATTAGAATACTGATAATGGAGGGTTGTGAATTTTTTTGCAATTTGAACAGTCTGAAATGTTACACACTTGTTAATAAATATTTACTTTTCACAACAGTATTACCAAAGAGCATTAGCATGTTTTTGTCTGGTTTTGATGTTCTAGATACATTATATAATTAATTCACTTATTTATTGATATGTTTATTACAAATAGTTTTCTGCTCAGATAAGCATTTTGAAATGAGTAGCTGAAATTCAAACAGGAGCATTCTGAGGGTAAAAACCCACAGACATACTGATGAAACAAAAATGTGATCTTTCTCATCCATGATGGTGATTTTGTAATGTCCTGGTATGAAATGGGCAGGATTAATTTGCTGATGCTAATATGTGTTGTAAAGCAAACATGGCATTGAATGATTTCATGATTAATGAATACAGCATTTTTATCAAGCATTATTGATTTCCCAGTGCTTTTAGACAAAGCCTACAAAGAATCAGGCAAAATTATGTAGTGAATGTGTAAGGAACTGACCATTTTCCTCTGAAGTCTGTAAAATGCATTACAGTGAATGAGAACATAGTAATGTTGGAAAATCTGTTTTTCGACATACAACAGAAAGTTAGGCCAGTATAAATTGTGTATGAACCTGCTATGAATACAAAAAATAGTGATTAGGTAATTGCATTATGATGTAAACTTAACAACTATTCAGAGTTAAAAACTGGCATGTGTTCCAGCTTTATAAGTAAGCATTCATCATATACCCTGAATGAACACAGTAATTTAAGTTTTATGTAAAGGTTAATTATTTGGTTGCATCAACATATCTTACCTCTTTATCAAAATCCCATGGAGAATAGGAGAACTGTATTGTTGGCATGAATGTATTTGCTTGAAGCCAACGGATAAATAATTCTTTGGTTGGAAGATCGATATATCCATTCCCTCCCACCATATCAGGAATGACAAATGAGTAGCCAACCATGTTCATGGCTAACAGGCTGGTGACTAGAGCTTTGAGTCCATTTTCAACACCCCAGGTGGACGATTTATCTGGCATTCTTACAAAGACTGGTTCATTTTGATTCCTATATACAACACGAACTTCTGCCAATTTCAGCTCACTCATATTAGCCACTGTTTTTACATACTCTGTAGTGAATATGTTGGGTTGCAGGCGAATAGACCCCGCGAGTTTACCTATTTCAGGTGCTCCAGGGAGGTAGGCAGCTTCTCCTGCATCAAATTTAAATGCATCTATATTGTACTCCCTGCTCAAGTTCTGTAGTCTGCCCTTCCACCATGAAACTGCATCAGGGTTTGTAAAGTTAATAACACCAGCAAAACCATCCCACCAATATGTCAGAGTCTGTGTCATATCTTTATTCATGGCTAGATACCGATTATTTTTGGCTATGGTATGAGCAGGGCAGTATATGTTAATAAAAGGATGTGTCCAAAGAGTAATGCGGAATCCTTTCCTCTTCAGAGTTTCAATCATTAACTTTGGATCATCAAATGTCTTGTTGAAGAACTCGGCTGCACCATAACAAAATTCCCAGTTGTCATCAATTTCCAGCTGACTGTTGTTGAAACCATAGTAGAGAATCTGTTTGGCAAAATCATTGACAATGAATGTGTTAATGCCCTTTTTATATCTTGCCCAAGTAGACCAAATGGGATGCCGAAACATTTGCTCATCAGGTATGTCACGAGGAAGAGGAACGAAACTACGAATAGTATGAAGATGTGTGATAACTGGATCAGTTCCTGAACACAGAATGTATTTGAGCTTCACTGCTCCAGAATGATCAGGCAGATATGGTTCTTTTATTTTGCTAATAAGACACAGGTGTGTTTTATTTTGGGAAACAAATAAAGACACATCTGGTGGAACAAAGACAGCATTCCCAGAAGAAGTAAGCCAGTAAGGTTCTACAATACCTTCATTTCCTCCTAACCCTGTTACATATGGTGAATCAGATATCTTGTTATTTTGGGATGGCCAGTACTGTGTACTTGTGACAGGTCCACCATACAGTTGGTCACCTTGTAGTGGAATACAAGCATTAATGTCTTTATCATCTGGAGCTGTAATTACATGCATACTACAGTAGACACCATCCTGTTCTTGAGATGGAATTTCTTTCACTTGCAGCAGTCCTTGAGGATTGTCATCTTTGTCTTCTAACCAGTTCATACATAAAGCTAATCCATTTTCATTACATATTCTAGGATTTCCCAACTCTTCTGAGAATGTTATGTCTATTTTTGATAAGGGTTTCCCATTACCTGAAAGAAATACAATAAGTAAAATCAAGTTATTGGCCAAAGATGTTCTTATGCAAATATAGTACAAGTAACTTATTTTAGCAGCAAAGGTGAGCCATTATTGAAAATATTCTGTTAAGCAGCTGCAAGAGCCACCTCTTCATTCTGAAATGAAGAATTTTGAATGTATGTGTGCTTGTTTTGAAACTTGCAAATGTAACATTCATTAGTACCAGAGTTAGTTACCAGAATGGGGAGACCAGAGAGATACTGATGCTGATGATCTTGTTGCCAGGAGCTTGAATGAAACTCGTGGTGTTCGAGGCTCAGTCAACAATACTCGAATTCCAAAGAATGTCAACAGGGCACCAAACGTAATCACTATTGGAAATATTAATCATTAAAATTATTGGGAAACGTGTAAGGCATATGAGATCCTGTCAAAAAATGTGTACACTAATTTGTAGAGTGGCATCACATATTTTTGATTGGGTAAAGATTTTAATTATATATATATATATTATTATTATTAAAATTTTACATATATATAAATAAACTGTAAAATTATTTCTCATCAAATATGGCTGGATTTTGCATCCAACTACATTAATATGTGAGATTTAAGGTTGAGGTTTCTTAAGTTGTGATGTCATGTAGTCCTTTGGGTTCTTACCAACATTTCAGAGTAACTAACCACCTCCATCTTGAACCTTGAAGATGGAAGCAATTAATTCCTCTGGAATGTTGGTAACTAATAAATAATTTTCATCTTCTACCCTTCCAGTGAGTAAAGCACTAAGGCATTCTGTAGAATGTAAAACCTACATGGTCAACTGAATATTCTTCACACATCTAAATATTCATAAGTTTTGTTCAATTAAAAAATTTGTCAGGCAAGACAGTACAACAGTAGAGAATGAAGTTGTAATTGAAAGTGTATGGTACTGTAATAAAATTGGATTTTTTGTAAGCAAAATGCTGTTAATGTTATCAATTTCAAATGCCAATTGTTATGTAATGAAAATGTTCCATGCTCTTAGGACTAGAATATAAGTGTTGTCCATGAAAGAAAACATATTTCAAGGAAATATTGGAGGAAGGGTAATAAGGAATGTCCAGTTTATATAACATGACATGTCATGCCTTGTATTTATAACAGCATGTTAAATATTTCTTGCAAAAAATTCAGACATCCTTGAGTACAAATAGTAAGTTCCTCCACTAATAAAGTGTCATTCGGCTAACCTTAACCAACAAAGAAGTAAACAGTAAACATAAATGACATAAATTTTTACTCAGCATGGTTTGCTGTTATTCGTATGATATACATTTATCAGTTGTCACGAAGTAACTAACCTGTACAAGAAAGAAAACAGACGTATAGCCAGAAGTGAAAATGCCGATTTTGGTCAACATCATCATTTTTCAATAAAAATTCGTCTGATGATAATTTTCTGGTCATCTCGTAGTCGGCGCGGTCAGTTTTTAATGTGGCTGATATTTCCCATATGCCGTAAGCATTATTCTGGTTGACGAAATTTACTAGTAAGCTCCGACCTATCACGTACTAGTACCTCGTATGTAATCGATGTTTATCAGTTGGGCTGTTTGGAGTGTACAGCGATAGGCGTTTCCAATGTACAAATTCGATTTTCTTGCTAGTGTAGAATGTAAAGGAAGGTGCTCACTGCTTCCTTATATGTAAGTAATAAGTGCTCCTAGTTAATACCGAGAAGCCGATAAACTCCATGATGCAAACGAATCCCGTAATTTTAGAACCTTGCTTTCTATACTTTTTTAAAAAAAAAGTTCGACTCTCCGCTGGTGTCTAGGTGTCCAGACAGGGTTCATTCGGCTTCCTTTTGCCCCTCAAAATAAATGTCTGACTGCACGGATTACCTACGTCATGTTTAGGACACTGAAATACTGTAGACGTAACTTAACCTGTAATCGGGCTACACGACCACTTCATCCCATTTCATCCTAGCACTAAATATTAGCAATTGTAAATATCTTGTGTGCATGTTGTAGTTATCAGTCAAACTGATTTTTAATAAGGTGGCAGTGTTCTAGATTGTAGCACCATTTAGTCTGGCAGAAGTTTACTGTCGTTTCTGATGTGCTTGCTGCCTCTATCATCAGGACGATCATCCACTGATGATCAAGGTTGCAAGTAACTCTGAAACGTCAGTAAACTTCTACCAGACAACATGACACTCCAACCCAGCAGCCATCATCACATTTGCGGTTATGAGAGCCCCAAATCCTATTTGATTTTTAATGACCCCCTGTGCTAACCATTTCCCCTCAGAGTTGAATTCCAGCTTGCAATCCCATAGAATTGAGGTTTAAATTCCCAATTCCTGTACAGTAAAGGGTAATACATACCAAAAATTTACATTTAAATTTACTATGCTTTAATTAATGGCTACAATAATTTTAAGATAGTTATGTCTTGATTACACTGTCTGTAACAGGGTTTAAATCTTCTGGTAAGTTTGGTATTCTTTTGAAATATGCCAGCTCATTCAAAGCTACTTTGTAATTTCTGAGCCAAGTTGGCCCAGTTAATGTGTGTGATCGGAGTTTGTCTTGCCATTGTCCAGTGGGTAAGTAAATGTCACGACTTGTAGCACCTTCATCCAGCATTGGAGCTACAAGAATATCCTCTCCAAGTAGAAACTCTGAGGAAGTGAAGAAGAAATTGAAAATTATAAGTAATGTCATGTTTTATATTAAATAAATGACAGGCTCAGAATTGTACAGTTGAACTTCAGACCAACCTGATTCTACGACTTGTGCAGTCTCATCTGTAGGATCTATCCACCAGATTGGAGGGTTGATAGGAGATCCATCTTGTGTTGCCTTAACAGCTAGCTCTATGATTTTGTTAGCATATTGGGCATGCAAATCTGTATAGTTCCTACAAATCTCTACAGTCTGTGTACAATAGAGAAGGCTGTATTATAATAATTATAAGATCATAATTATTAGATTTATACACATTAAAAGCTGATCATAAGTAGATGCATTTTATAACTCATGTAATATGTAGACTTTATACCTACCAGTAACTTTCTAACTACAGAGATGTACAAAATGAATCTTTTTGCTGATTTGTATCAGTTGAGTGAGTCTATTCAGTGACCTAAGTCATCAAGCACCATTCAGAAAACTGGACCTAATGAGCAGGGAGTCACAATTTGAAAGTGTAAACCTACACTAGTAGAGGAGACAAAGCATAATTCATGCTACTCCTTTATGGAAGACTAAAAGTCACTCATTCAAATGTCTGCACTGGTGTTACTGAATACCACTATTCACCAGGCATTGAAGAGGAAGTATAAAAATCTTACCTCATTATCAAAATCCCATGGCACATAAGAGTATTGCAGTGAAGGCATGAATACATTTGCCTGCAGCCAGCGAATGAAGAGTTCCTTTGTAGGTGTTTTTCCATAGCCATTTCCTCCAATCATATCAGGGAGCACCAAAGAATATCCAACCATATTCATTTGTAATAATGTTGTTACTAGAGTTTTAAGTCCATTGTTTATGCCCCATCTAGTATCTTTATCCAGCATGCGTACAAAGTTTGGCAAATTCTGACTTTGCTGTCCAACTCTGACTTCTATCATTGGTCCAAATTTGGATACTGTTTGTACATAACGTTTTGTGTATATTCCTGGTATTTCCTTCAAACTGGCATTGAGTCGTGGGAGTTGTGGTAGCCAGCTTGTTTCACCAGCATCAAACTTGAATGAATCAATTCCACTTTCTTCCTTCAGTGTCTTCAGGCGACTAACATACCATTTGACAGCATTTGTGTTTGTGAAGTCAATGATACCACCAACCCCATTCCACCAGGAGGTATATGTACTGTTGTCTGTGTTATGTACAAAGTAACCTTTAATCTCTGCCTCTTGAAACCATGGATTACACATAACATTGATAAATGGATGAACCCATAGGGTGACCCTGAAACCTTTTGCTTTCAGGGTGTCAGTCAGATTCTTAGGATTTGGAAACTTGCTTTGCCCAAAAGAAAGGGCTCCATAACATTCTTCCCAATTATCATCAATCTCTAATTGACTGTTGTTGAAGTTATGTGCTAGAATCTGTTCTGCAAAATTCAAAATAGCTGTCTCATTAACATCTTTTTTGTACCTGGCCCATGTTGACCAAATGGGATTTCTTATCATACGCTCATCAGGATAACCACTGGGCTTTCCCAGAACTGCTCGAGCAGCATGTTCATGAGCTTCTCTAGCATTTTGATAGGAACAAATGGTATAATTGAGAGTAGGTTTAATTGTATTTGGATAAGGTGCCACACTTTTAGCTCTGAGGCAGAGCTTCTTGATGGCTTTATTGTTCATATCAATGAACAATGGAACTCTTGGTTGTACATAAATGTAAATGCCTTTAGATGAGACCCAGTAGGGCTCTGCAATTCCTTGGCTATTTTGGGACTTGGTAACAAAAGAATAGTCATCAAATGTAACCTGATCCAAAGGCCAGTATTGGTTGTACTGTTCTGGGCCACCGTACCAATGAGCCTCATCTAAATCAATGCAGTCTTCAAGAACATCATCAACTGAAGTTCCAATTGTGGAAAAATGGAAACATGATGCAGTTTGTGTGGTTGTAATGTTAGCATGTGATAATCCACAACTGACATGTCCCTTCAGTACTACAGTACCACCTGAAATAAGAAGTTTACAGGGTGTTAGCTCATTTAATTTGCAGGATTTATGAATGCTTCATTGAGTTATGTGAAGTAGTAGTGCATAAGATTGAGGGTATTATCATGGCATGAAATGTCTCTAAGTGGTCTCATTGAATAAGTACAGTATGTTAACAGAAAATTGTGGCAATACATTTTTATAGTGAAAGATCAAATTAAAATTTTATACATCATAAAAAAGTCAGGTTCTAAAGTAGGTAAATAGAAAAGCACATGACCTTGAAAAATATGTACTCTCTTTACTTATCCCAAACCCTTTCATCGCTATTCTTACCTTTCTTTCTCAGGCTAAAGTACTGCCCTCGAGAAACTTGGAGAAATTCCAGGGTTGCAGTCGGATAGTCATAGTGATCTGCATTGGTTCTCAGCACAGACAACAGTAGACAAGTAACTGTTAAATTTTTAATGTAATCAGTAACTTAAATAACTTATTTTTGCATATTTATGAATTTGTTTTAAGGTGCAGGATTTTTGAGATCAGATTTATGCAGGCAGCCAAAAGAACAAAAGGATGGTAGTTATTTCTCTTGAATAGTAATTATATGCATTTCACATTGCCACATACCTGCAGATATTTCAGTTGTCACTTGCATGTTTTGAACTCATAATACATAGGCTGAAAGTGATTCCCTGAAATTTAAAATAAACAAAACTTAAATAATGACCTCTACATACATTTTCCTGCATATATTTTCAAAAATATGCTTTTTGTATGTTTATTTCTATGTTTTCATTAAACACGACCTTGTACCTTATTATGGGGCAGTGTGGCCATGAAGGAAGTGAGAAGTTTGAAGCATAGGTGATGCACATAACTTGAATTTGGGGAGTATTTTGTTTAGGTCTTCAATGGAGCATTGACTGAGGATTTTCAAGATTTCTCGTAGACATTCCAGACAATTACTTTGAAAGAGACCATAATCTTTTTCTGTCCACATGTTTATCTCATTTTTCTCTCATTTTGAACATGTAATTTCCAATATCCTTGAATGTAGGATGTAAGAAACTGTTAAGTTATCGTAAACAATTTATAAAAAAGAAATCATTATTACAAAATATTAAAATTATTATAACATTAAAATTTGTAAAATTAGAATTCTTAACATTGTTAATTAAGAGTTCTTAATTGTTAATAATATATTTCTTCTCATCCCCCAACCTGCAGTTTCTCCATAAATTTTAGCATCTTCCAAGTCATTGCACATGGGGTACAATCCTTTTACAGCTTTCCATCTGTAATCTTTCAGGTTCCATACTTCTAATTTCTACCAGTTTATGCCTTTCCTGTTACAGCACGTAGCATATTCCCCTCTGCCACAGACCTGTTTCACACTGGACTAAAAGGTTAGTGATGCCATCCCTGATATTCTAGTGAACATGTCTGCCTCTCATTATCATTGTATGATTTTTATAATGCCACATATTCTGTGGGTATTTTCCAGCCATTGCCTAGTAGAGGTGAAACCTTAATCAGAATGACTGTTGCATAATAACTCTGTTGATTGTAGTAGTTTATCTGTGTGAAAATGTGAAACAACTGTGTAACTGTATTAAACAAGTCTATTTAATATGTCACCTTTATTTTATGAAACTTTTTTATATGGAATACAAGAAACTATATCTGGAAAACATAATTAATGTTATATCATTCTTATATACATCAAAAGAGGTATATCTGTCTGGGAGAAAGTAACTAAAATATATATCCCACTGTATACCATCATTGTGTTCTTGTATTGGTCAGAATATTTTCTTACCTGCATGGATGTTGTGCAATCAAGGAAGAACTGTTCATTTGAAGTGCTTTACAAAAATCATTTTAGTCACATTCAATACAGTCTGTAATGCCACTCAAATAAACACACAGGATAATACTTCAGAACAGTGTTTACTAAATGATAACTGAATCGCCATATTGATCAAACCCAAATACTTATCAGAAAGACGTTTATCTTGTTCAACTATTCTATGAAATGCAGATGTTATTCCTGCAACTTTAAAGAATGGTGCAGGACAGTAAGATATATGAGGGAAACCACAACAGGAGGTCGAAATCTAGAGATGGGATTTCCAGGTTAAAACCCCCTTGCAATACCTGGGACAACATGAAAATATTGTTTTCTTTTTGAGAAAATGTATTTACGAAAAAATACTTATTTGGAGGAAAACATGTCAATAGTATAACCACTTTGTGAATATATTTAATGTATGTAAGATTATATTCATCGCCCTGATGACGGAGGCAGTATGACCTCTGAAACGTTGGTTAACATCAACCAGACTACACAGCGCAACAACCCAGAAGACGGAAATCTTCATATTTAATGTAGTTTTTAAAATGTATTTTTCAGTATATTGCCCCCCCTACTCCAAATTGAAATCTTAGATATGCTATTGGCCCACTTGTATGATTTGGTAAACTTAGAAGAGAGTTGTGTAAACTAAGGTCTGTGGAGATGGCTGTCTTCTAGGATGGTGCACTGTATGGTTTGGTAGAAACTGACTGATGCTTCAGAGGTGTTTAATGCCTCCATCATCAGGGTGCTTGCACTGATGAGGGAGGCAGTAAACACTTCTGAAACATCAGTGAATTTCTATCAGATTACATAGTGCAACATCCCAGTAGACAGTCATATTCATACTTATTGCTGTGAGAACCTGAAATCGTACATATGGTGTAGGCTTGATGCTCAGGCAGTTTTTGTGAAACAAGAAAGTGACTCTGGCTTGATATATTAGAGTGGCAAGGCAATGGAAATTCATACAGATCTTGTAAAAAAATATTTTTCTGTCTTGTTTAATACAAGCATAACTGCAATAGTTGGTGTCAATGTAGTTGGTTCACTCCAGTCTCCCAGCCCTGTTATTATCTTATCACAAAGTGAATAAACAGTTTCTCACATCACACAGATTTTATTTGTATAAATAGATTACATGATTTTAGAATATTGTACTTAGGGGATACAGAAAGGTTTTCTTCTCACAAAATCATATAAAAATATTCAATCATTTTATATACATAAATGCACCATCCCTCCAGTCAACAAGTCTTCTAGTTTGAGTTACAAGAGTGTCAGTTTTTGTTCCTCCGTTACTTCATTATAATTCAGAAGGAGAGTCCTTATTTCCTCATTCAGCTTGACGATTACTGGATCCTGAAGTGAGTAGGTGCCTGTATTCATGAGCGTGTCTCGCTCTTCTACAAGGGCACTGATCTGTGGTTCATGCATCTTCTGCTGTAAGGAGGTGGGTCTGTTTAAACTGGCATCTGAATTGGGCTGAAACACAAAACAGAAATCTGTCATTGATTAGTTGTACCTTCTGAATATAAATCTCTGTTGTTACTGCTATACTAGTCTACTTACTACTACTTTGTGGTAACAATGTGTGCATTCATGTATTGGATATTTTTTTCAGCTTTAGTTTCCTGAAGGAAACATTTGCTGAAACATTTCATACCTTTTCTGAATGCAGCAAATGCTTTCGAGCACTGTTAGGAAGATGATGCTGAGGTGCTACGTGTGGATTAACGATTTCATTGTTTTGCTGGCTGGTGTCTCCCAGACCACAGTTTGTGTGGATTGTGTTCATCTCACTTCGTAGTTGCTGGATCATTGACTGGTCTTCTTTCATCCCCTGCTCACCTTTACTTAGTAAATGCTGCAAACTGAATATAATGCATGGATTGTTATGTTACCTTAAATTAGAGTTGGCTGGTTCAGTAAACTGCCTGTTCCTAACTGACAATTACCATTTTCATAGATGTATAATCATCTGCTGCTTCAGTGAGACTCTTGTCCCATCTGACCTCCTGTACTCACACTACATGTCATTTATATTTTGCTAATTCCCTTGCTGCTGTTTTCACTGAGCCTGACATAAGTCCCACATCTCATGTTATTTTTCCATTGCGTAGGTAATTTCAAAAAATCTATCAAGTCCAAAGCCCTATGTAAAATGTTGTTACATGCTAGATTCTATGGTAAGAAGTTGTTAGCTCCCCACCCACTCCCTAAGCTTGAGGACCAGCCCATATTGGCTGTTTGCAGCTGCTTATACAGCATACTTGCACATACTGTCCATATCTGGATGCGTTCCCCTCCATCCACAATCTGAGGATGTGTCGTGATGCAGTGACAAGGACCCATATATCCGCACAGAGCAGAGACAATAATTAAATGATATTACCCAAATTTTAGTGGCACCATGTCATATCTCTAGGAGACAAATACAATTGTAAAATAAGACAATTCAGGTACAAAAACTGGCATTATATGTATGATTAATAAGAAAATTTACCCCAAATCTCTTAGTTCTTCTTTGTTGTGTTTAATCTGGATCTGAATGTCTTGTTGATGTTCATTTTTTAAATGATTAATTTCTCGAAATGCTCTAGCCCATTGCTCTTTGAAAAATGACTTGGCTTTCAATGCTGATTCTAATTTCTCTTCTGTTGATTTCTGTGAAAGTAATACACATTATATAGTTACATAAAGACATGTTACATTCTTAAATATCTCCACATATACCATATTTGCAATCAATGGGCCTAATAGCTAGAGGAAAGTATGTATGAAAATTGTGATATTGTCAAATTTGGCCAAAATTGTTTTATGGATGGATGTCAGTAAGAAAACTTAAATCTGAAATTCATTAAAAATTGTTCAGTTCTTACGTATCTCCACAAATTCCAAATAGTCATTGTCAAATTTGGCCAAAATTCAGTTTTATCAATGGATTTTAGTAATAACACTTAAACCTGAAATTTATTAAAAGTCATTAAAAAGTTTACAATTTCAACATATCTCCACAAATGCCAAATTTATAATCAACAAGTTAAATTTAATGAATATTTGAAAAATTACTCTCAGAGAGTGTGTGCGTGCATGATAGTCCAGTTTTGACAAACTTAAAATTTGTCCATAGCAGAGTTATTATATGTAGACAGAGAATGAAATAGAAGAGCTAGCAGTTGCTTGTGCTTTGTTACAAAATAGACACAATACCAGCTCCTGTAATAAGGATAAGTCAGTTTGGTCCTTCTTCAGGGAGGCTTTCTTAATTTTATTCAGACTATGTTCCTGCGCTGTTATTGTTTCTTTCAGTTCAGCATTTTCTTTCTCTGTTCTCAAAATCTTGTCTTCCAGATCTTCTTTATCCCTCTCCAGTTTAACACACTAAATAAGGAAATAACATGTTAAATATTAATTCAATAAGGTAATCATATTTCCTTTATAATACTTTTAGGGACAGCTAGGTGGTTGCCAACATACGTGAATGTACAGCAAACAAGCAACATGATAAAGATCTGCACACCAACCATCTTGTTATCACTTTTCTTACTTCCAAAATATGGTTTGAAAACAAATGTGGCTAAAAGAATCTTACAGTTACTATTTTCACTATTATTTACAAACTGTCAGTCACTATAAACACAGTTATTTACATCCAGGTTGAAATCACTGTCTGCAAGAAATCCTTTTTTATTCAACAAGGGACATGGACAGACTTACTGCTCCTACTACCCCTGGCATGCTGACAATTTTATTTTCATATCTGTAATCTTACATGCCATCTAGACAGGGAATATTAGAACATCTACAAGTCTACACTGTCTTAGTAAAACAGCCCAAGCAATAAACAAAAATTTGTTCATTCCTGTTAAAAATAATAAGAAATACAAAAGCTCGTAATTCAAAGACTGAGTGTTGAAATGATGGTCTAATGGAAGAGTGAGACAGGCAAAATTTTATGCCATTGGCCCTCAACATTTTAAACCAGAATGTTATTAAAATTCTGTTACCTTGAGGGAGAAGTCACCTTCTATTCTTTTAATTGCATCCTTCATCTCCAAAACCTTCAATTTATATTTTCGTTCTATTATCTCCTTATACCTGTTTAACTGAAATAAACAATTTCATAAGCATTGCAATTAATATGATTATCTCAGGAATTTCAAATTAATTTTCAATATATTCATGCTGAACTTCATATGCTTATTTGAAATAAGCTTTAAAGTGACCATGTCCTAGGTACAGTACAGTTTTGGGTTCTAGAAGTATGGGGACTGGGAGATTTTTCACCTGGCCCATTCAGCAGTTCATTTGAAGGAAAGTCATAGGAAAGGGCGTGACCTTAAAATTGGACACCAAATACTGTGCAGTGTATATTCCATTGTGTAAAAATAAACAGAAGCCAATTTAAGTATTTTAAGCAAGTGTGTAATCAGATGATACCATGCCTGTCATAAATTAATCTAAAGGCATAAGAGTAAGTGATAAAACAACATCCACAATTTTGGTTACATTACATTATAACAATAAAGGTAAATATATGTGTGTATAAATTATACTATGTATAGCATAGTCAGTAGTTACATCTTTAAGCTTATGATATATTATAGTGGTGTTTCTATAAATACTTGGAGTTTGTTAATGCTGTAGATAAAATATATATTATTCAAATGTTGAAATATTAAAAGTTTGGGTAAAAAATTTGTTACATGTAGTCAGTAGTTGAAGTGTTAAAATGTAAATGTTGAAGTAAAGTTGTTGTTGATTCTATAATGTATGGGCATATGTACAACTGGTCCTGGTATTAACAAACCTGAAATTATGTGGTATGTAACTACTTGCAAGCAACGAGAGATGTGAGGCAAGAAAAAATCCAAAATTTTGGAAGGGAATGAATTGAGAGGGAACAAAATAGGGAATATTGAGAGGTATATGTAATTCCACATTAGCTAGTTGGTGTGACTGTTTTGTACATTACCCTATGTTGTTTATGATTAACTTTGCCTGTCTAGTCAAACAATTCCGGGAATGTACCTACCAGCATTAATTTACTGTGTAACTGCTGACTGTGTGTATGGAAAAGCCTATCCACAAGCAATGATCAACATCCCCATTTCCATAGAATTTATAATCATCTGCTGGTTTAATAACATCTGTGTCCTCTTGTACTCCCACTGAATCTAACTTACATTTTGCTAATTCCCTTAATACTGTCTTCAAAGAGCCTGCCCTATAGACTCCTAACATTCCAGGACCACCCCTTGTTGGCTGTTGGTGACTTGTTCATTCAATATATTTGCAGCTACTCTCCATATCCAGAAATCTTCTCCTCCGCAACCTGAGAACGCATCATGCTGTGGTGACAGATACCTACTTTACAGAGTTGATGTAGTGTATGCCATAAAAATTACTTTTACTCAGATTAAGAAATATTCAAATTAAAATATCATTTTTCAGTGTTACTTGCTTCATTTCTTAAAGTAGGCAGTATTAACTTCTTTGGTGATGAAAATCAAATGTTTGTTTTACCCATTTCATCCTAGTTTTTCCCATGATTCACAATTTCCAAGAATATACAGGCAACTCAGCACATTCTTCCAAAAAATATATTTTTAACTTATTTCAAGATGATGTAGTAATAATCAGTAAATTTGGTAGTTGCTGAAGTTGGATCACAGAGTGTAACACCTACCAAAATGGATCCAGCCCAATAATGTTGTTGTATAAACATGCATGCACTAATTCAAGACTTTTTTATGTATTGGGGAAGGAAAAAAAAGTGTGCACACACAGAAAGCAGTTTATTATATAATGAATGTTATTAACTATGTAAAGCTGTCAGTAGTGAAGTTAATAAAATTACTTTTATGTTTCTTTGTAAAATGTTCTGTATTTCATTTGTAGGGAGTATAAAAGCATATAAGCATCAATAAACAAGAGGCCATCATCTTCATTAGGGGAACATGTAAACACAAAACACCAATGTGGACTGTAGATAGTGACAAAATAAAAGATGTTACTGATACTTTCAAGCTAGATATTTAGAAAAATCTGAATAAAATGTTTGTCAAATGATGAAAAAGCTTGATGATGGTGAAAAGATTAATATGCACTCATAACTAACTTAGAAGTGACATACTGTTCATTTACTTATCTCTGTATTTCACTTACTTCCTGTTCTCTTTGAGCACATTTACAAGTTTTGAGACGGAGTTCATCAGTAGTATCATTGAGAGATTGTGCTAGCCTTTGACACTCTTCCACTTTGTGGTTGAAATTTTTCTCAATTTCCATATGTCGTCTCTTCCATTCTTCATTCAATGCAGCGATATGAGCTTCCTCCTTCTTCTTCAACTGGAATGCATATCATACCCTATACTTGTCAGAAGTCATCTGTTACACTGTTTTTACAATTGTCCAATGTGAATTAAATCAGAAAAAGGGATAGTGCAATAATCATGGCTAAACATTAGCCCAGCTTTTGTTTTCAGTCATCCTGTAAGAACTGTTCTTTTGATTGATTAATCAAGTTGAAGCGGGTGATTCAACAATCCTTGTGTGTACAGAGGAAATGGCTGTTCAGTCATGTAATTAGCACAACAGATTATATTAAAAACATAAGCAGGAAACTGAGCAGGATGGTATAGTGATAACAAGCTAGAATTGTACTAGGGATAACATTTTGGATGGGTTTACAGTTATCCTATCTGAGGTTTCTTCATGATTTTCCTCATTGTACCCAGACATATGCTGGATGAGCACCTTATAATAGGTCACACTTAGTTCCTTCCAAATTTTTGCCATCTCGCCAATTATGATCATCCTTGCATTGCATTTAATGCAATGGAAACAACATTGTTAAATAATCCAAGAATCAGTTAATCAGAGGCAGAACATATTAGAAATATATATTACCTCTGCTTTAAAGAGTTCTTGTTGTCTCTCCTTCCAGTCTTCTAGCTCCTCTACAATTTTGAATACAAAATGGTCATCAAGTGTAGCAGATCCCAGATCTAGGTGGAAGGAAAGAAGTAATGGAAGTGTAACTCAGGTTACACATTGTTTTGCTGCTCTTTATTTTAAGCTGGCAAAACATAGTTAAATATTGTTAAGTGTCCATTGATTGTTTTTCTAGGCAACATGTTTCAAACATAATTTGTCTATCTCCAGGCCTCTGGCTGTCCTCACAAACTACTCTATTATGTGTCAATATAATGTGAAGGCATGTAATAAATGCCAGTATGAATTTATTTATTTGTTGTATGGAGATGGACACTTAATAATATTTAGTTACATTCATAACATGATGCTCCAGTATGATTTTGCATGTGGTTAAATATAAAGTCAAGACTTACTATATAACTAATGTTAATTTAGAAATAGCAGCAGATGCATTTTGGTTTGTACATAGATGTGCACATGCAAGGTGCAAAAATGATTTGAATACAACCACACATATGGAACTAGTTCAGTCAACTTAAACTGTGTGCTGAAGTGCTTCATCAGAAGCTAGTAGAATATTGTTCAATTTTCCCCAGATATGTCATAAAAATTTTCATAATATTAATTAATATCTTAATGAGAGTCTTAGTGCCTTCCGAAAGGCATTACTTTTCCTAACAGTGTTTTCATCTTGAATTCTTTCTGCATAAATTTGCAAAAATGATAGCATAATTATTTATTGGTTCAAATTTTAAATATGCATGAGTATGTACTTAGCACAGTCTTGTCTTCAATCTGCTTGGGTCCAAGATCATCTAGAGTGAATCCAATAGCAAGGGTGCCAACTTCCTCCACTGTTCTCAGATCGATCAGAGGTATGTTATAGTGGCACAGCTTCTGTAGATAAAATGTAATTCATGATAATTTTGTTTTAAGATGATTGAATGGAAAATTATTATCCAGAATTTCTCTCATGCTAACTACAGCAAGAATCACGGTCTACACATTTTCATCCAATCAGCTTGATCTTATATGATATTCTCTGAGATATAACTTGTCTGATTCAGGTATCTATTATGCATGTTGTAGGGTGCAGTGAAAGAATTCCTCTTGTTTTATTTCTTGTAGCTATCTTAGTACACTAAGAACTTGTGACTTGTATTCATCAAAGTGTAAGCCAAGGCTCCTGTGCATCAGAGCTCAGTTACAGCTCCAACAGATAATTCTGTCACTGCTTGAGAGGCACATCATTAATTTCAGCAGAAAACCATTCCCACTTGAAATCATGAATAACAGTAATTCTGATAAATATGAATTTTGACATGTGACTTGGTTTTCTGGGTTGTAAAACCATGTGGACTTGTATGTAGATATCAGTTTTTTGGAGTAACATAGAACCTCCATCTTCAGCCCTGACATTGACATCTTCACTGCTGTGAGATCTTCCTTATATTTGTGTAGTTATGTAACCTTTGTAACAAATTTGTAATTAATTTTATGTAGCATGTGAATCATTATCCTGTTGACACTATTCATCACTTATTTTTAACAGAAGAAATACAAATTTGAAGAATTCAGAGAAACTTGGTGGAACTGAATTACTTCAAAAGTTGGAATTACTGGATTGGGATTCTGCCTTCCCTGAAGATTAAGAAAAGTTTCTCAGAGTCAGAATTTTCTTCCAACACCAGCTATGCTAAAACTCAACAGAGCCATGAGAGGATTATGACAATTACTTACCAAATTTTCCACCAGGGCAGGACCTATATTAAGTGTACCAACAGCTAGTTGCGTGCTAAGGCCTTGAACTGTGTCACAGACACTAATCTTGGGAGGCCATGCTAGCAACACATGGTTTATTTCACCAGGTGTTGACAGAAACGTTAATTTACATTTGACATCTTGAAGTCCAATGCTCTTGTTTGTTTCTTTTATTATGATCTCTGGATTAGAATTGCTGATTGTCTGTGCTTTGGGATGATGAAATCTAAATGAAAAGAAATGCAATATTTTTCTTATATGTCTACCATATGATGTTTAAGAAACAGGTGGTATGAGACCTTATTTTTGTGGAAAATGATTTAAATGGAACACTCACAACAATAAGGTAAAAGTAAAGCCATCCTATTGTGCACCATGTAGGTGCTCAGGGGGAGAGGAGCTCATAGCTCCTACTCATATTTAACCTCAGCATCATGTCCTGGCCAGCTTTACCCGCAGTTCTCATTAGGCAGGAAGCAAAGGCAAGAAGGAAATCCTCTGCCCCTGACAGGGCTCAAACCCCAATCATCTAACCTGTAGTCAGTCACTATATAACTGAATGAACTAGCTGGTTCATACTCACAAAAATAATATTCATAAATACTTGATGCATGCTCTGAAATGTGGTGAAAATATACTTCTCTTTCATTCTTGTACATCTGAGTTACTTACCGACAAAAACTACATCTGTAAAACAATTTCATATTACAGACTATCAAACAAGGCCTCAGACAGATTTTTTTCTTTTGTATAACTTGAACAATGGAAAAATGGACCCCACAGACATTAAAATAAAATGCATTTTTGGTAAACAGCAAACACAGGAAAGAATATGTTCTTATTTTGGCTTTTGTTCATTACCAAGGAACAAATAATAAAGAAAGAACAAAACATTTTTAACATTCTTCTTATTGTATGTAAAATTTCCACATATGTATATTTTGGCTGTAGAATGTTGCTGTGCAATTAAGTAATGTTTAATAAAAGTATTAATTAATAAAGCAAGAATTATGTTAACATTAAAAAGTTATTTTGAAGGCGGTCGCATTGAAGATGTTAATGTTGGTCTTCCAGGTTTTAACACTGTGGACTTGTAGGTAGATACCAAAATTTGAGATGAACATACTGCCTTCATCTTTGGTGCTAAAGGTGGAGGCAGCGTGCTTCTCAAGGTGGCGACTGACTTGTAACATTTACTTGTAATGTAACATTCGCGGCGAGCATGTTACATTACACCACAACTGGTGAGGCGTATCGAATGCTCGTTTTGAACGCTCGGCTCGACTGTGCTCATGTGTGCTCCATTCATTTCATTCAATATGTCGGACGTGGAGGTTGTGTTATCTTTGTTTCATTTAATACGCTACTCTTATCTAAAGAACTCGTGAATGCTCGTTACGACGCCGCTCGACTGACTGACTGACTTGTAATGTAACACTCAAAGGGATTCGCGAAAAAACCAACAACACGATGGAGCGCCCGCGAGCGTGAGCAGCTCGCATCGAGCAGCTCCGTTCGCTGTCTTCACTTGTGTAATGCTCGATTTGTAACACGTTACATTACAGGCAAATGTTACAAGTCAGTCGCCACCTTTAGAGACATCGATATCCAGCTATAACTCCACATGGTCGTACAACCCAGAAGACCAACATCAACAGTCTTATTGAGTTATAATCAAGGCTGAAGAAATGTTTACTTGGTTAACTGATCAGTAAAAATATTCCTGTCGATTCTTATAGGTTTTACATGGAATAATTCAAAATGTATGTGTAGCACAGAATATAATTTCTAATAGTCACCCACAGTTTTTCAGTATGGATGAAAAATCACCATGTATTTGTTCACTCCTGCCTCCTTAACAGATATAAAAATGATTTTATTCAAAGAAAGTGTGTTAAATGTACCACATACTTGAAGTAGCATCTCTTTCGTGGTGGAAGGTGTTGGAAGGTAACAGTCTGTATTGTGATGTCCAAACTGTATATATGGTACGGTTCATCAGTTTGTTCTTGGGCCTGAGTGGAACTATCATGGAATATACGTTGTGAACGGTAATCTTTACTAATGATCTGTGCACATGGTGATCTGAGCTGACCAGCAGATACAAATAACTGACTCTGTCCTGAAGGCACTTTCATTTCTTTCAAAAGTTGTGCCATATTCCCTGCCTCCACTTCATCTCCTGTCTTTTGCGTGTAACCACTTCTATGCACATTCTTATTTGTGTTTTGCTCAGAAATATCATTTGTTTTGATACTGACACCATGCTGTATTATTGGACCACTTACATGACCACTGTCTTGTATATCAACATTTGGCACTTCGAACACTGACTGTATTGGTGCATCAAGAACTGTATAGCTAGAACTACGAAGTAAACTTGCTGGTTCATTCTCCATATCCCAGAATTGATCCTCACCCTGGTCAGTGTCATTCCATTCTATATTTTGGTATTTAAGCCTAATTCTGAGATGTATATAGGGTTGTAGACCACTTGGTGATGTTGGAACTTCACCAGTATTAGATACTTTAAGGAAACAAGGACTCTCAATTGTAACAGTACTTTCATCATTGAGAGTACAAAAGGCAGACTTGCTTGTTGTTGGTATCAATCCTTGCATGGATATTTCTGTGAATCCAATTTCATCTTGTCCAGTTATAAGTTTCATTCTTAATTTTGATGAAGTTGAAAAGTACTGATGCAAGTTCTCCAGTGATGAACGCAGTGATACTACCATCTTCTTATTAAAAGGTACAGGTTTGTATATGTCAGTCAAAGCTATCTTTGCTGTGTCAACAGCATAATCCATAATGCTGTAATGAAAACTTATGTGCCTATTTTCTGCATTGTAGTTTCCTGGGAAAAGCTAGAACAAAGAATGAAGATGTGAGACACCATTATAATTTGCCCTGATATATACAAATCATCCAAAAATTACCATTTACCTTCCTTGAGCAAAGTGTTCAGTTGTATGTGCAGGACTATTTGACAAGGAAAAAGTCTAAAATATTGTTTAAGCTGAAATAATCATATCATCTCAGAATTATATTTTATTTTTTTATTTTAACTCACCAGGTCCAAATTCACTGCCTGTCCCACATAGATGGTTAGTTCAAAATTATCAGTAGCTGTTTCATCAGAACCAATTTGGATAATACCTTTGTCAGAATGCAACTGAGTAACAAGACTGCCATTCAGAGGCTGAGTTACTGGTTGCTTCTGCTGATTGTTCTTAGTATTGGTATCCTTGGAAGGCAGTTGGATGCCCTGAAACATAAGTTATTAGCAGTGGTATCTCTATTGCAATGATTAAAAGCATTACTTAGCTGTCATATTTTAATTTTACTTACATTAAATAAGAAAGTAATGAGAGATTGTTGGGCAAGGGGCATCAGAAATATGAAAGAAAAAAGGAGAACATATTCACAATTTAATGTGCAGCAGTTTTTTCACAGGACAGTTATTACCTGTGAAAGAAATATGTGGTTTCTTCACCCTTCAGGCTCCCTTTTGGGACTGTTCCTCCAACAGTGTATGATTTTTCCTTTATTAATCAATTTAAGTTACAAGGTAAGTTATAAATTAATATTACATTTATATTTTATCAATAAGAATACATTATTTATAAATCAGTCTCACCTGATATAAATATTTTCCAGCTTGACTGTGTCAGTAGAAGGAGCTCTTTTGATAATTAAAGCAGTCGCTTATGGTTTATATCGTAACAAGGATATACCAATGTAACTATAACAGGCTTTATTTTTTAAAACAATTACAAGCAAAATATTAAGGAAAGATCCTCATTATGTCTTTAGTTCATTTGAATCGTGTTAGAGTAGGAACACCGTTTCATTTGTGCTGATAACAAACTGGACAGAGGGAATGTATAAATACAGCATAGTATAATAGAGACTCTACATTTAAAACATGTTTAGAGAGGAGCACAGAGATAAAGAATGTCTGATCTATAATAAGGGAGAAGCAACAAAATATGGTGTGATGAAGAGAACAAGTACAAGAAAGAATATATTGCAAAACTTATTATGACAATTAATAATAATCTGTGGTGTAATAGCCCTCTGAGAGCCAAAGCCGACCAGCTGGCTGCTGGCCTCACGTTCACATGCCTAAGCAGAGGTGAACAATCATCCAACCAGATATAGGGTGATGTGTGGTCAGCACGACGAACCCCCAGCCACTGCCAGTTTTCATGACTAGATTACGCTACCCATTGTAGCTCCCCAATTTCCTCACGATTCTGGGTTGACACCGGTCAAAAATCTCATGAGAAATTTCTTTCCCCGAGACTCAAGCCAGCGCGCATTCCGTATCACCGGTCCGAAGCATGATGCCTCAGACGGCACGGGACTATTATGACAATTAGAGGTATGAACACTAAAATTGAGATTATACTGTGTTAGACTGTACAGAGGGATATGACATACATGTGTAGAGCACAAATTTGTTATATGTAATTATTCTTTCCAACACATTCTGGTATGATTTTCAGTTCTTTCTGGTGTGTCCTGACTTGGTTATTTCTGAGGCAGCAGCACCCATTGGATAGAAATCTGTTCAATTCTTTGTTTAATGATGCTTTTTAAAGTCTGTAGGTTGTATAGTGTTGAATGATAGGGTAACTGATGATGATGACCTTACCACTAGACTCCCACAAACTATGTAGTTGCATTGAGAAAGAGTAAAATTATAATAAAAAATGATGTATATACCTTTTCTTGAATTTCTGGTCTTCCTTCAACCCTAAGGCTACAAAGCATTTCTGGACAAGGTGGCTTTGTCCCATTTAATTTTTGCCATTCCAACCAAGACTCCCCAATATCCTAAACAAAATATGAAACAAACACTTAAAATTATGGTACTTCAAATTCCACTGGTGGTAAAATAACAGATTGTGGTCTTTTGAGTTGTGACACTGTGAAGCTCTGAAGATGGAGGTCATTCCCTTCCAAAAACATTGGCAAGCACCAAGATACTACAGTGTCACCACCCAGAAGACCACTTCCAAGTGGTTAAAAACCAATCATACATTGAAAACAGGATGCTCTTATATTTATTACTGTATTATAAATACATTAAATTATTCTTATCTGCTACATTAGAGTAAGTTCATTTTTTGTAGTTTCACTCACATCAGTAATTATGATATGTACTAATTACTGGTAATTTATACTTCATCACTATTCATAACATCATACCAACTTTTATATCAATATTTTGGGATCTAAAAAATAATTAAAGTTTGAAGCTTTCTGATAATGCAGCACACTGTTGTTGTTGTAGTTGTACCTCCCCCCCCCCATTCAACACTGCCTTTATTTTGTAATTTTAGTGAAGTCACTGTGGACTTGCATGGGAGGCCTGAATCCAAAACAAACTTGTCGCAAACTACTGCCTTACTTTCAGGTTTCTGATACTTAGTGGTTACTGCATGTAATTTACATAAAACAGTATCCCATTACATAATTACAGCATAAGATTTTCCAGATGGAACAAAATGTGCTTGCCGCAAAGCCATCTTAAGATTTCCAATACAATTCCTTTCTTTGTGCATGTGATCTACTGAGAAACACTGAACCTTGATTGCAGATCTGTTGGTACGCAACCTGCAAATAAAAATAATTGGAATTTTCATTAAAGTATACATTTTAGCCCTCCAATAACATTCATATTTTAATATTCACGACTCAAAAGTGACTGTACTATAAATAATTACTGTCCTGTACACTAGAAAAGTTGAACAGTAATCAATGCAAAACACACACAATATCCAAGCTTGTATAAAGAATATATATTTCCACTACAACATGTTCTTATTTTTAAAGTTCATTTATAAGACACTTTTAGATATGGTTCTTGCTTTTGGTGTGGAATGGCATTTCTTGTAGTCAGTTTTTTGTGGGTTCTTTCTGTACATTATCAGTTTATTCACACAATTCAAACAAAACTACCAGCTTAAATATTGTTGTTGAGCATGATGTCTGTGAGAACTACTTACAATTATGGAATGTAATAAGTTCTAATTCTAATGACAAAAAATTAAATTTACTATATTGGTTGGGAAGCCTGAGGGGAAGAGACCACTGGGGAGACCTAGACGTAGATAGGAGGATAACGTCAGGCGGGATCTATGGGAGATAGAAGTTGAAGGAGACTGGATTTTGTTGGCCCAGGACAGGGTCTGGTGGAGTGCTTTGGTTAAGTCGGTGATGAACCTTCGGGTTCGGTAAGCTATCTAGTTAGTTATAATGTACATGAGAATAATTTACCGTCTTAGAACTTTCTTACTCGAATCCCAGATCAATTCTAAATCAAAGACTGGTTCCTGAATTATGGGAAACACGTCAGTATTCAAAATGCTCTCATTTATGGTGGCTGTGATAAAAATTCCATCATGTGGTGCCAAACTCAAATGGCCAAACCCACGTCCTGTAAAACAATATTATACTTCAAGGTGCCGTTACAAAGTCTTATCAATTTTAATTAGAAATCTGATTTTTTTTCTAAAGAGCAGTCATAAATATTTACATAAAGTTGATTTCTAAAACTTATTGAAGTAAGCAATTGTCAGTTAAAGTCACTTACCTTGTTTAATGTTAAGAATAATACGTATATCCTGTCCATTAATCTCTTCCATTGATAATGTGATAAATTTGACTTTTCAGTTTGAAAGATCACGTTTAAACTTTATGTTATTAGGTTACAACGCATCTAAACCTGACGTTTTTGTTTCCATGGTTACGGCCCTACATTCGGAGTCAATGATATGTTATTGTTAATGAATGAAATCCTAATTTCATATAATAAATTATGATGTTACAGTATGGTTACCGTCTCGAACCTGGTATTTTATATATTAAAAATGAAGGCTGGTGTAATGGCGTAAACAAACATATAGGCTATAAATTGTCGCGGTTAATGACGGAAGTTGTTTGCGCGCAGGTGCTGTCTTCTAAAGAACTTCACGGATAGTTCATGCGAAGTGGAAGTAAGAGAACAATATAGGGTTCTTTTATTTCGCGTTCGATTAAGATAATGTAAAAGGTTTTTATATGTGGTTCTTATTTTATAGTATTTCATATAGTGTGCTTTTATAAACGTTATACTTCTTTAAATTATCGGTGGCGGGCTGATTCACATATTCTCATCAATGTATTCATGTATCATTCCGCGAACTGATGGGAAAAGGAAAATGGGAAGTAAGGGATGTGTATGTGCATTGTCTTCTAAGTGAATGCCTGGATTCGTTTGGAAATATTTAGCGATGTGCGAAAAGTCTGGTTGCTTGTGCACAGTACTCATTTGTGTAGAGGATGGATGTATGTTGCGAGTGAATGAGTGGGAAAACATATCAAGTGCACCGAAAAATTGCATGGCTGCTAGTATTGTCTGTAGGCCCGGGGCCTACCTGTGACAAGAGCAGCCATTTGCAGTGGTAATACATTTAGTTTGATTTGAGTGCTTCGCACAGTATGCAGAAACGCGAAGGAAGAGATCGAGAAAGGGATAAAGATATACGAGACGAATCTTCAAAAAGGGTTTCACGATCAAGTGCAGGAACAAGAACTAACATGCATACAAGTCGGCACAGTGTATCCACAAGTTCGGGTGTGTTGATGGTTGGACCCAACTTCAGGGTAGGAAAGAAGATAGGATGTGGAAATTTTGGCGAATTGCGATTAGGTAAGTACACTTACTTCTTTGTTATTAATGTAAATGTACATGGTTCTTATATAATCTTGGAATCTGTCTCCAAACCTGAGACACTGTGTGAGTGGTGTACATGACACAAAATGATTGAGATTGTAACCTAAACATATTAGTAGGAAATTATTTTAAGTTGTGTTGTACATTTTATAAATTAGCAATGGCCATTCTGATAGATTGATTCACTGGATTGACTTGTGGTTGCAGAAGTCCATGTTTGTTGTGTGCCTTTATTTATCCAATGACACTGTCATCAGCTTCAGTTTTTGGACTATTAATCAGTAATGAACTGAAAATGATATGGAAGGAAGCAGTTGTGGCCTAATTTAAGGTACCTTCTTGGTATTTGCATGGAGGCACAGGAAAGAACCACAAAATGCCAATAGCTGCTCTCTGAGATTTATATTCAAATCTCAGAGAGAGACTTTCTGCGTAGTGTTAACCAGTTGGCTGTGACATGAGGTTTTATATTAGTTGTGTATTCTACTTAGGCTAGAAACTTTCATACCCTATCTAACTTTTTGAATAATTTTGGTGTACCAGTAGTGACAACCTTTATTTATCCTCTGGGTAGGTGAACCTAACCTGTCATATAATGGGGATCCTTCCATAAATTCATTACTGTACCTATGGTTTTATTAAGAGCAGAGTTAGCTTAGTCAATTTAGTGATTGTCTATGTACTGGACACCCGGGGTTTGATCCCTGACGGGCAGAGGATTTTTCTTCCAGCCTCTGTGTCCAGGCCAACTCTGGGCCCCACCCAGCCTCCTATATAATGGGTAACAGGGTTCATTCCCAGGGGTAAAGCATGGCTTCGGCATGACACTGACCACTTACCCATATCTAGTGCCATGGTTAAGAATGCATAGGAGCTACCCCCAAGTACCTACATGCTGCATAGCCGCTTTACTATTACCTATGTGAAATTAGTTGGAATTTTTTAAATTTAATTTTGACTCTTGTTTTAGGAGTTAATGGTGAATGGGTGTTTGTTGATATATGAACCTACATATACTTGCTTGTTCCATGTTCCAACATACTTCCGAGGACATAATATTTTGTTTAATTGGTTTTTAAAAAGAATAAACAATCAGTTTATGACCACCTTGTTCTGTGTACTGTGCCATATATTTTGCTTTAGTACCTTGTCTCCTGTTTCTTAAAATTTTGTATTATATTATTTTCAAGTTTCTTTGCTGAGAATTATTAATATTAAGGCCCCATAAAATTATCCTGTAATAGAGAGTCAAAATATTTTATTCCAAAGCACATTTGCATTTGCTTGTCTCCCACCTCTTTTCATGTGTCATTCTCCATCCATCATTTTTGTCCCATTCTTTCATATATTCACAGATGAATGGATGCTTTTGAAAGAGGGTTTATGAAATAGATTTGGTTTCTCTGCTTTATAGAGGTATGGTATTGATCCAGAGTTTCTTCTAGTATAATACAATTTTAAGTAATAGCACAAGTTTAAAAATAGCTGTTTCAATCCTTGGGCTGTAATTATGCATGTTTAGAAATGAATATGAATATTTACATATTTAATATTTTAGGTATTTTATTAGTTATAAAAGTTACTTTATTGTGCCATTGGAATACTTGGGTTGACTGTGTATGTTATGTAATTTAGTTCAGTATATATTAATATAGTAATTCTACCATATGCTTGTTTCTGGAAGAAAAAATACATATTGTAATCTCAGCTACTTTTTGTAGAATTCCATATTTTTCAGTCAGTTGAATGTCTTTTGTTTTATCAGGCACACTTCCATGTCTGAAGCTAGTGTTTATCACGTGTGATAAAGTAGATTTCTCTGCTGCTGTGTACAGTTTGGTATTATCCTATTAGTTTTATATGGAAATTATTCTGTAGCAAAAATTTGCCTCTGCCATTTAAAAAATTTACACATTTGAGTTACATTTACCATTCAAGAATACTTATAGGTAAGAAATACAGTACAATTTCTGTTTTCTTCCATGGTGAAAGAAATTTTTTTTTAACTTGATGTTTTGTTGTGATGCCATGTGGACTTGTCGGTACACACCAATATTTCAGAGAAACATATTGTTTCCTTCTTCAGTTCTGGAGATTTTTTGGCCTACAAGTTCACATGGCATTACAACCAAGATCATCACCATCACCACCCTCACTACCATGAGAATCTTAAATTTCATAACATTTGACTTGAAAATAATTTTCATTTTAAAAATTGGAAGTTCTATATCATGTCAGATTATAACAGATGTCTACAAGGCCTTGTTTAAATACTCTTATACTTTGTCAGAGTCTTCTGAGGAAAGAAAAAGCTGTTTTCATTTGAAACATGGATTGGGTGTGATTTTAATTATTGCCAAAGTAGCAGTGATGATACTGATAGTATAAGTGTCGTGTTGTAAGTTGGCTATTATTGCTTGGCTGAAAGTGAATGCTGGATGTTACGGTTATGATCTGTAATCCATTATTGTAGAAGTGTTTTGTGTTTTTGTAGATAAATAAGGTTATGTGTTATGAAGAACAGTGTTGGCAATGTGCAAGCACATGACAGGAAGTTGGGAAGCTCATTGGTGCAGAAGGATGCAATACAAGCATTTTTAAAAGTGATTTGTATCATGTCAGATCAGTTTGGGAACAGTTCAGTCACAAAAGTTATCATAAATTTCAGATCACATTTAGAGATTTTTTGCTCATCACTATTTGGACATCTGAATTGAAATCTAATTTGAAACTCCTGTCCATGTCAGAACATTTTTGTTCACCAGTATGTGTGGTAGTGTGAATGGTGGTGTAGCAGCTTGTTTCAGAACTACTGTTAGAAGAAGTGCATTTTGAAGAAAGGCTGTATAAGTATGAGTCAGATATGAAATTACCGAGTTCTTTCGTTTTACACATTGCTGTCATTCTAATCATGATCCACAGTATTCATAAATTTTGGTAATACAGGAGGTTGCGCATTGGTACTGTTTTTTGGGGGAATGTTAGAGATAAAAGATTTTTTCCTGTCATATAAAATATTTGCTGCATTAAGTTGCTAGTAGTATTTTTGGTTTACTGAAACTAGAATTATTAATTTTAGGTTTTTGTAACTCTTGAAATTTGATTTGTGCATAACCCTGAAGTCATGTTAGTTTGCAAAGTAGATATTTCAGTTTAACCCTAAAGTAATTATTGTGTGAGAGTGGTGTGCCAGTGACCATGCTTAATGGCTAAAGTAGGTCAGTTACGTGGGAGACTGTCTAACTTACATTCTCCCTTAACTTGTTGCAGTATTATAAAGCTGTTGGTAGCAGTGCTTTTTATTTCATAAGCACCATACAGAGTATTTGCCTCCAATTACTCTGTATTGCCATGTTTTAGTATATGTAGATAGTTGTGGCATGATTTTTGTGTTCAAACTGTTTTGTTGTTATCTGCTTATGTGTATTAGAAACTGAATTTCAAGCATGTGGTATGTCTGAAGCAAATAAGTACGGCATTAAATGTTTTGTAAGTGTAAATTACACATATTATTAAGATTATTAAAACACGTGTACTTCTATCATATAGAAATTAATTTTTAGCTGTATATTTATAAAATGGTGGTAGCAAATCATTGATACATAGCCTTACAGTATATCGTGGTGTCTTTCTGCAATCCCAGCTTTACAGTTGAATCCTGTGGATAATGAAGAACCGTTAATAAACTTGTACCCAGGTTCAGTGTCGGGTAGCCCAAATGGGTTTTGGTCTTGCCCATTTTATCATTTTTCTGCCTGTGTTTCATAATTGTGTCAGCATTGTGTGAGGTGTGTAACAGGTGTAGCAATCTAGCTTGTTATCAGAACCTTGAGCTTCACCTCAGAGCTCACATGGATTTCTCCAAGTACTTCAGTTTTTCTCATTTTGGGCTTTGAATCAAATTTGGTACTTTGTTACACTTTGAGTAAGAAAGTTTATTTTTAGTGCCTGTAACACTGCTGGCTTCAGTTAATAAGTATAACTTGGGATTGGTGGTTGATTGATGTTAACTCCTTTTTACATCCATTCAGATGTTAGTACTGTGGTAACATTTTCATAGTGTCTTGTATATTTTGCATTTTATATGAGAAATGAACACAGAATTTTAGTCAGAAACTTGAAGGAAGGAGAACACTTGTGAGAGTTATGTGTAGACTAAAGGGTAATATTAAAAGGGATCTTATATTGTGTGAAGATGTGGGCTGTATTTATCTGGCTCATGTTAGGGACCTGTGTCTGGCACCTGCAAGCACAGTAAACCTTCAGGTTTTAAAAAGACATGGAATTTCTTGGGTTCTTTGATTCTCAAGAAGAACTCCTTATGTAATTAGACATTTAATATGTATGGGATTAGGCTTTGCATTGTTACTGCAAAATTCTAATACTTACCCCATGCCTTCCCTGGAAACTAGCCTTTTGAGATAATTCTCACGTACATGAACAAGCTGTAATCATTCATTGTTGCTCCTAAGTTATGTGTGTAGACAAACATATTGAAACTTGAAATAGTTTCCTACCAATATATTTTGAGACAAAACATCAGAGATAACTTTGCAGATTGTCGTCTTTGTCCTTGTGTCTTTCAAAATAATAATGGTAATGAATTTTGTTGTTGTAGGAGGTGATTTGATATCATGGGGTCTGTAGAAATGTTATTTGGAGATAAATTTCTGTTTTCTGGCACGCTACCAAACTGGATCACTTGGCTTGTGATTACACAAATTAGATGTGGCTAGGATTGTGCTTTTACATTGTAATAACAAAAGTTTTATATGGAACAACAACCCAGAAGACAGCCAACTTTTATAATATTGTTGTTTTTGTTTGTTTGTCATCAGTCTTTCGACTGGTTTGATGCGGTCCTCCATTTTCGCCATCTTGCGCCAGTCTCTTCATTTCCACATATTTTTTGCAGCCCACATCCTCAAAAATCTGCGTCACATATTCCAATCTTTGTCTCCCCCCTACAATTCTTC